AGCTGCTAACTACGCGTTATGAGATCTGAGGTGGATAATAGTTGGACGAGCGCAACCCCTGGAAGATAAAATATCATAGGAGGGGGAAATACGGCTGCCTAGAATGAATCGCACTCCAGAATGAAAATCGGACGATAGTGATAACGATATCATATTTGGTACACTGCCACTATTTGCACTATTTTTGCAAAATTTCCAAGGAATAAATTTTCATTCAAATGCCAAATTCTGAGACAATAACGCACATTATCAATGGTATAACCCGCCACCTCCAAACCGGCCACAATTCCAGAATTTGATCACATCTCATGGACCACACTCACTAGATTCCTATGTATCCTTTTGATGCGATATTTGTTTTGAATGCACAAACTTCTCAAAGATATCCTGACCACTTATCTTTCCTCGCAAAAACCGAACTAGTTTCCCAGCACTTCCAATTTTATATGCAAATCGGCGCCATGTTCATCGATCGTATTAAATTATTCAACCCGAAACATTGAGCGAATCCGCTCATTGCTGTACAAATAAATTATGTAATAGCGTATAGTGAAAGCATTATGCTTGCAGCGAATTTGTTAGAACATCCGTAGGTAAGAGCCCCCTTCCCCCCTGCAAACCATTACTTAAACAGCTTTCTACTGTAATTGTTAGTTTTGCAACTGCAAGTTAGACGACTTGCACAAATGAAAAACATCCCTCAACTTCAAACAAACAAATCCCGCAATAAGTTAAACAGTATAACATTTACATTCGTATAGGAAAAAGTAAAGAGCTTCATGTGAAAAAATAGCAAAAAAAGTATTCTTCAAATTTGAATGAAATTGTGCCAAATTGCAGAAACACCTATTTAAATCACCAAGGGAACACATTAGCTTAGCTTAGCAGAAACACCAATTTTTTTATTTTTCGAGGGGAAGCTTCCACAGCCACAAACATGTGGAGCGAAAGAAACAAAAGATTACCTGCTGACCCATCCATCCAGCCGGTACATTAGGTTTGCCGCCTTTTGCGAGACCTGAGTCCACTCTAGGGATTGCAGGAGTCGATCCAGCAGCGCGATATTTCTCTTCCTGACCGGACAGCAGCTCGTCTATCTCGTGCGCTTTCACAAGCCTGAAAAAAGTACAATAATATTGAAGCCCTTGGTTCTACAAAAACATTAACCGCTTCGTCGCAGTTCTTCGAAGAACTCAAATAAAAACAGTGTACGCACATTATATTCGTGTGCATGAACGCTTGCGAAAGTGCAATTTGTCGCAACTTCTCCTTGTCTTCCACCGTAGCAACCTTCCTCCATAAAACTGGATATTTCTTGTAGAGCGTACCTCTATGCAGTCTGAGATATGCACCTATTTCGGATCCTGAAAAGAGATGTAATGCAATTAGCTCTATTATCAACAAAATTAACGAAAAAGGTAATTAGAAGTCTCTTGCGTACCAGGTGCCTTACTTCAATAGTAACTCTGCTAGGATTCAAAAAAATCAAAACCCTCGGAATACTCCATCGCTGCCCGAAGAGCAATGAAGAGAAAAATTAGCTTAGCTTACCTATGTAGTACCGCTCTCCCCGAGTCGTCCATCGTGAACGATTGTGGACGCGGTCCGTACGTTGCATTGCTAATCGTCATGGTTCAGAAACCTAAACTTCAGATCATTCCTTTCGATACTGCTTAAGTAAATTCGTAAGAAAACTACACGACTGAGAACACGACAACGGTCATGAGTACTCACCAACTATCGGTTCAACGCTTTTTTTCCCTGCTGCGAAAGTCTCCTCAAGATGAAATTATACGGCGTCTCTCCATAGTAAGGGGAGCAGTTCCCGGTCAAACCAGCTTAGTGTTGACCTCACAGAACCTTTTCTACGGCATTTCTTCGACTTTTTTGAACACTTTTTATTCGAACCTTGGATGTGTGGAGAAGCAACTCCAGCCCAGGAAAAGAAAGTTTTTGGAGGGGAGAGAGCTTCTGAGGAGAGTAACCAGATCCCTTAGCCAATGGGTTTGGTGCTAACTTAGTTGGGGGGGGGGCACGCGGCGGCGCGGCAGTCTGCTCACCTGGGCTCTCTCGAGCGAGACAGTGTAAACTCGAACATTCCAGCTTTTCACGCATGTCAAGTGACTGCCCCCCCCCACCCCCCTAGACTGGCTACACTCCCCCTGGCCCACGGATTTCCGAACATGCCAGGCGAGCAGACTGCCGCGCCGCCGCGTGCGCCCCCCCCCCCCCCCACCTAGCGCCCGCCCCCAACTAGATCTAGCCAGCCCTGGGTTTTCAAGAGTACTGATTTAGGCACCCAGTGGTCCTTCCCATCTCCTGACCTGGGCCAGAATCCACACCCTCTAGCTTGCCTTGAATGTTCTGTACTTCATCAATAATCGAACAGCGCCAATTATACTAAACAAATTTCAAAATTCTAAGTGTAGAAGACCTATCTGATTATTTTTCTAGACGATTTATCTAAGGTAAAATTGTTCGAGGCTACAAACACTGATCTATGTCGGATTATTCACAAAGATTCACTAAAAAGCTGGCGCTTAGAAACCACTTTGCAATATTAAATGCACGAAAGGCGTTCGACGTCCCAGAGCCCACCTGACGACTATCATTTCGGCAGGTGCACTGATGATACCGAAGAATATGCATAAGCGTACAGACTATCAAGAGAAAAACACAGAAAAACCGACAAAAACAATGTAGATAATAAGCTTTGCAAAGCACGCCAGTACCGACGAAAATTCGAAACCGATAGCGAGTTGCTTCGGATGCGCCGCGTCGCGCGCGTGTCTTTTCGAGCTTTACCGTGGGGCGCGTTTTTTCACACACCAGCCATTTCACGGTGCACGTCCTGCAGCTTATTATTGCTTTGATAGCGTCATTTATTGACAATTAATCGCCTCCACCCTTCTCATGTTTTCCGTTAATTCTCCTACAAAACATGCCTGATTTAATGTTGTTGAAATAAGCGTTTCCATAGCGACCCCTATAATTGCGGGTGAGCGGCGGGGCGGGGCCGAAAGGGTTCAGAAGCGTTTTCGAGACACCACCGACTAGTAACCGGCTGTCAATGGATCTGATCATCTTTCCGTCCATATTCATCATGCTCGTATTTCTTTCATGTGGTACTCTCTATCTATTCGCCTAATCAATCGATATGCTGTCGGTTCGGGTACTGTATGTGACAGTACAACTGGTTGCTACAGTACATTCCGAATGGGAAATACCCTTCAACATCAGGTGAATAATTACGAATCCTACAAAAAAGTAAGAAAAATTGTAATGGCTGCATAAAACCTTCAATCAAAGGTCCAGGTATCCTTTGTTTCGGCGATCTCAACTCAAACACGCATGCATGGCGTATACCATAGGAAAGGGTTAGGAAACAAATTTTTCCACTACTATATTGCTTGTGTTTCAGCGAACATTTCCTGAAAGTAATCGGCGGCTATCCAACCTTCATTGAATCATTTTATCCTTCTGTGGAAAACCTCACCATCGACGACTTCGACTCCTTCCTTCCTCCTTTACAATCGTCCTCTTACCACAGGTGAGCCAATTTTTTTACAATTACCCCTTGAAAAATAGTCAAAGGCGCTTTTCTAGACTGCTCAGCTGGTCCTGCGACGCATTTCCAAGTGATGGCAGCGAATGTACATCTACAATCACTGTGGACAGATGCCGCCACGGCACGCAGTTCGCCGTCGGGTTTTGGCGGGCTGCCAACCGTTCATGCGAAAAACAGGGACAATTGGTCTCGTGTGTGGATGCGTGAGTAACAACAGTTTTTAATTCATAACCCCTGCAAGGTAGACTGAGGTTGCATGAAGGGTCATTAGTTGGGTATGACGTGAGCCATGACGATGGAGGAGGGGAATGGGAGGGAAGCCTGTCGGGTTACCGGTTGGCGGGGTTAAAATTTCTGGCTGTGACCTTTCGGTATACCATACCTTTTCGACTTGATTGGGACAACCTGAAGATGGATATCAAAATGGGGAATTTTTCGAATAGAGCTCCTCCTCCCCACTCCTTCCCAAAATGGGGTCTATCAGCGAGCCACATCTGCTCTTCTTACTCCAGGGACCACAAACATCACCTCCCCGGTTTGGGAAAGGAATCCATATGAATTTTGTTCTCCCAATCAGGCCTCTCCCAAAAATGGCATGCGTGCCTGTAAAAAAAGATAATATTTTGAAGTAGCGATTCCTCAGAAACAATTTTTTCACTAATTTCTCACCATTATCGACGGAGGTGCTACATACGGCCCCATGTCCTACCTTAAAGGCAGGGACTTGCGACAACTGCAGGGCAGTGCGGTTTTGATGACGTCACTGGACGTCACCAGTAGAAGACCCTGGGGATGTGGTTGGACCACTTAACAACCCTCCACCAGTGAAGTTGAACGGCATCACCAAAACCGCGCTGCCCCTCATCGTCGTGAACACTGCCTTTGAACCCTACCACTCATGTCCTCAAAATCCATCAGGATGGGGATGCGGGATGCGGGAAGGGGTTTCTAGTTGCTCTAGGGTGTATACAGTAATAAAATAGTGAAAAGTGCTGAAATCGTTTAGAACATCCGAAAAAATCTTCGCACCATTATTTTGAGGGTCAATCCTTTGACACTTACCCCCACTTGGCCCTATCACTGGGGCTTTGTGGCCTACATACCTACCCTTGTACACGACATAGTCCCACCTGTTCCTTTATTTGGTCACCAACAAATTTCCCATACGAATCTTGGAACACAAAGAATCCAGGGTTAGGTTTACGGACAAGCGACGTTTGTTTTGAGTGAAATTCCGAAAGCCCTGCTCTAGGCACCTGCGGCACTGATTCCCCGGGGGAGGCTGTTGTTGAGTAATGCCGAACTATTCAGCGAGTTTGTTTCTCTCACTTTCATCGTCATTAACCCAATTCTCGTTGGGAAGCTGTTCCAAATGGCCTGCAAAGAAACGAGAACACGTCTATCACTCGTACACGACAGGCCTGCTATGCTAAGAACAGCCTCAACTGGACTGTGAACTCCCCCATTCCTCTCTGACACATCACCGAGGATTAATGAATTCTCAACGCAGTCCGTGCGATTTACGTCAGCCTGATGTAATGTGATCATTGGCAAGGCTACCCATTTAGACGCCATTTCGTGCCCAATCTACGACATTCACCGACTCAGGAGGAATATTGCTACTCCGGGCCAGGTCACTAGCCATGATCCTTAGCCGTCAACGTCCCACGGTAATTGGGAGGTAAATTGCAGCTGAGGGGGCCAGGAGTCACTAGTTTGCACCGGGTGGATGCCGCGAAATCGGGACATTCATAGAGTTGAAAACCGATTCGCAGGGCGCCAGGGGGTCACTTAACTGGAAAAGATGGGTTTTCTGGTCGTTTGGTATCGAATGGGGATGACTTTCTTCGCGAAAAGTAGACTGGTGACCCTGTCGATTGACAGTGAGCTCCTGTTTACTCGGGCGGATCGTCCAGGTTACCCAGCAAATTCTGGCTTTCAACGCCTTTCACGGTGCCCTAGCCAGAGCTTCCATAGGCTGATATGAGCGTCTTGAGCCGGGATGACCAGCTGTATTGTAGGAGGAAACTGTTTGTAACGACTCCGTCGTCTAGGAATACGCCCTTCTCGTTCTTTCGACGTCAACTCCTTCCTCCACCTCTCAGCGTGTGGCCCGATAGTTGATGTCAGTTAGGCGTCACTGAGTGATTTCCCAACTTGCTCCTAACCTTTGCCCGTGAACGCACCTACCCTGACCGCCCAAACTATGCCAACACTCACGACTCAAACAATTCCATGGCAAATTCACCATCAGGGAGAATAAATTACGACCCATCGGTGGCGTTTGGTCCGTTTGCATGGCTCACCCTAATGTGAGCCGAGTGCACTTCGCCTTCGACTATGCTCTATAAATGCAATATATTCACAAGATTGCGCTAAATTTATGTCCCACATGGGCTGTAGTTGGGTCATGGGTTACATTAGACTTACGGGGGGGGGGCGTTCGCAGAAAATTGGAGAATTTTGTATTTTCATTAATGGCATTTCCCTCTAATTTAACCTAGTTAACACTCATTGTCAGTGCAAATTATCATCTATTCATTTCATTATAAAAAATTCAATTTTAAAAGCACAAGAGACGTAATTACGGAATTCAGACGGAAATTTGAAGGATATTCAGTCTTTAATTTCAGAACTATCGAGGGAAACGTGTGCCAAAACGTGGTTGTAGAAATTCATAACGCATCCACAGTACATTTTGTGCTAAAAGATTTACAGGTGAGCTTGGCAGAACCCTACAGGCATGTTTTTGGTTCCAGGACTTATTGACACACTCATTCAGGTCCCTTCTGTTGTTACACAAATTTTTACCGAATACCGCGGAACAAATACGTCTTGCTACTACCCAGCTTTCCCTGTCCTGGCAGACCAGCCGTTGCGATTGTTTCCAACAGGTAACTAATTTACAAATCTTTGTAGACATTGCAAGAATCGATTTTTTTGGTGCGCAGGTGATCGCTGCGGGACCGGCCAGAACCTGATCAAGTTTGGGATCAATACAACTGCTCAGTGCTTGGTGGACAGATCGGCCTTTGTGGGTGTTTTGCTGGGGTTTTGAACTTTTCCTCCTGAAAATTGAATGTGCTGATTCATTCTTTTCAGAGAGAAGTCGAGGGATGTCCGTCCAACGACGAAATACGAACATTTCTCACTTCAAATGTTTCCTACATATGTAATTGCGGCAAATGCGAGACACCATTACTACGGTAAGTGGATCGTTTTGATTTTTTTGAACCAGTAAATAGCTATTCACAGGTAACTACTTTATTGTGAAAACCCGAAAAATAAACATGGTCCACACGGATAGAAACGTGAGGGGCGGGGCAACGGAAGCGACGCGGTCGCGGCGCGGTTCATGGTGACAGCTGCACAGGATGATCATCATGACAATGTGATGATGAGAAAGTGTTGAGAAAAAAGAATAATTGTTAACAAAAAATAATTGTGGGAATT